AGTACTCAGAGAGTATGAGCCACTAAGAATGATAAGCTATGAAGAATGAAAGAAAGGAAGGTCAAAGATAAAGGTACAAAGAATGAAGGGATAGACAAAGGGTAAGAGACTATAGAATGAACAAAGAATGAAGAGGTAGTCAAAGGAATGGAATGATGAAGTAAGGAAGGGTAGTAGTAAGAGTCAGCATACATATAGTCTATAGACAGCACCCCTGAGGGACAGAAGTCCTGAGTTCTGGTATGGAAGGGTGCAGAACCCTCAGAACTGAAGGTATGAGAGTAGAGAACTGTAACAGTTATTGTTATGTAAATAATTAATACTAGACATCTAAATCAAATATAGATAATTATTGTTTGTACTATAACACTCTGAACAGTAAAGACTCTTATTTCTTTGATGAACCTATTAATTCTGAAGTCTGTAAAGAGGTAGAAGGTGTAGGAACAGTTTTGAACATCCTTTGTAAACTTGTAGGCTCAGTTTCTCCTAGGAAAGCCTTGTACATTTGCTCTAACACTGGAAGGCAACTAGATATGTTCTTAACAATTAAAACAGACTATAGACTTATTAATGTGTATACTCTGATTGATTCAGAGTATACTGAATCATACATAAATGTGAGTTTTGTTAAGAACAATAAGTTAACAACATATCCTTTTAAGAATCCCTTTCTAGTCTTTAATACTAATAGTACAAGTAATAATGAAGGTCTTCTAAAGGACTATGTTAAAGTAGAACTCTCTGTTTAAGTACATATAGAGACAATTTGTCTAGTAGTTACTATATTAGTATTAAGTAATATACATTTAAGACTTTAAAATGTATAGTAGGATTGGATTGAGGAGAGTTGTGAGCCTTGTTAGGAAGATTGAAGTGTAGACAATTGTTAGATTAACTACTAGAGAGTCCTCTGTGTGTAAGAGTCTCTCTGAGTCAAGTTTCATTATTGTTAATCTGAATTGTATACTTTTTCCATTCATTATAAGTACTTAGGACTAGTAATAAGTATATTAACTGACAAAGTACTTTAGGATTAAGAGTATACTAAAGTAAATCAATCAATATAGAGTCATATACTTTACTACTCAGTCTAGCTTTAGTCTTAAGAATCTCAAACTGTTGGAAAAAGACATTTGTAGAGTGATTTCCTTACTTGAGTTGTCTAAGCTTCTAAATAGCAGTTTCTTTCTTACTAGGGTCATTAAATGATTGCCCTAGTTACTCTATAAACTCTTAGAACAATTGTGTGTAAAGAATTTTGCCATCAATGTCTGTGTTTTAGGTAACCTAATTTTCTGTTTATATAGTAACTGTCCCTTCCTTTAGATAAGAAAGTATAAAGAGTATCTTCTTTTTACTGTTATAGAAGGCTCTTTTATTAGTAAGAATATACAGGAGACATTCTCTTTTAAAGTCCTAATAATCCTTGCCTCCTTTATACTCTCTAAGAGTAGTAGTAATCTTTCTAAGGTTTCTAGTAGGAGTATAATGTATTACTATAGTAACAGCTTAACTAGTAGCTTCTATAATTAATTGAGAGACTAAATTCATGTCTAAGTGTATATATACACCTTACTAGGACTGTACAAGCTTATAAGAGAGTATAAGAGAGTTTCCTAAAGGATTTGACATTGTTCCTAAGGCTAGCTCTAATAAATTAACTTCTAAAGTACTAAATACTCTTTCAAATACTTGAGCAAGCTCTAAAGCATTTAGGTCTTTGTTAAAGGCTAGTGTGAATGATTCTGAACAATGTCTAAGTTCTAGGAACAGTTCCTTCAACTAGTTTACTATCTAGACAACTTTAATCTTTCAGTTTTAAACTTTTAAGCTACTTATATATACTCTGTTCTAAGTACAATCTAGTGGCTCTTATCTAATAATACTAAATAACTGTAAGACAATACTGGACTTTCAGACTGTAAGGTCCCTAAAGGTGTTACTACTTGAGAGAGGCTCTAGTTGACTAGCAAACAAAGGTTAGGGATTAAGCTTCACAAGTAGTAAGTTAAAAAGTGTTTAGAAAAGAGTATAGTTATACAAATTGTAAAGATAACACACAAACTCAAAAGAGTGAAAGAGAGCAAAGGATGGTAGTAATACAACCTTAAGAGTAGAGTATAAAATAATAGAAAAATGAAGTAACAAATGTGTGAGGGACAATATAGAATTAATAGAATAGTAAATTAGTTTAATAGTTCTTTAAGAAAGTAAAATGTATGTTTATAAAGAGAGTAAGGAATACTCAAACAAGTAGTAGCTCAGCTTAAGCAACCAATTGAGTAGTAGCTCAGATTAGACAGATTGGGCAGATTGAGCAGATTGAGTAGATTGAGTAGGAGGAGTGATTAAGTAGTAGCTTAAGTTAGGAAAAGTTAAGTAGTAGCTCTAACTATCTGTAGGAAACAAATCAAACAGTAGTTTGGACTCAAAGGAGAGTTAGATTGGATAGAGAGGATAGTCAAGTAGTAGCTTAGACTAGGAGGATATTGATTGAGTAGTAGCTTGGACCAAGAGTAGTATTAAGGTAGAGATGAGTTTTTTGACTCTTATATTAGGAGAGATGTGTTCTCTAGGTTAATAACACTCTCAAACTGTGAATGTAGACCTGTAGCCCTTAATCTAACTATATTCCCAAAGCTACTAGCTAGGATTTATGTTAGGAGAACAAGTAGGAATATGAGAAGAGTCAAAAAACTAAGAAACTACTGTATCTACAAACTGCTTTTTATAATAACTAAATAACAAGAGTAAAGTAAGGAATAAAACTTGAGAATAAGATCAAAGAAATAATAAGAACAAATATTATAAAGCCAACAGGCACATTAGAGGCTAGGAAGAATTAGATAAGAAATAGATTGACTGTATTATAATTGTATATACTACCTTGTGTCTCTGTAGCTCTCTCCTGTACTCAATACTAAGACAATCTCTATAAAACTTTGTAGAACAATAGATGAGATGTTAAGAATTATGAAAATCTAGTAGTAATGTTGGTTTTTCACAAAACTGACAGAGATATGAAGAAAATGAAATAGGTCCAATCCTACAATTCTAACACTTTTGAGAGCCAAACTAGTCTTCTTATATACCTTTTACTAGAGTAATGTTACTCTAGTAACTTTAGTAACTCTCTTTACTGTTATTCTTATAAAGTAGAGCTAGCTAATCCTTTAGACATTATACTACACTAGTTTGTGTCTTCTTATATTCTAGATTAATCTTCTAACACTAGTTTGTGTCTTCTTGTATTCTAGATTAATCTTCTAATAACTCCTTACTATATTGTTATGTCTTCTATACTTTCTCTTAAGCTTCTAATAACTTATTATGAGTCCTTCTAACTAGTTATACTTTCTAAGCTGTGTAATACTTTTCTTATAGTGTAGAGCTTTGTATTATTCTGTAGTCTTCTCTTGACTCAACTTGTACTTTCTGTACACTAGTTTGTAATACACTTTCTTATAAGGTAGAGTATTTATAACTTCTAATAACTCCTTATAACTTCTATAATATAAAAGACTGTTACTTTATACTACTCTTAGAACTTACAACCAAAGTTCTAGACTGTCTTGTATATACTCTAGAACTAACAACTAGAGTTCTAGTTACTTCTCTAAGTCTTCTCTTATTAACTTAGTTTAGGAGACAATTATTCTTATTAACTTCTAGCCTTATCTTTATACTTCTGTATTCAATCCTAGAACTTACAACTAGAGTTCTAGATTGTCTCATGTATTCCTTATGTTGTCCTTATATAGTCCTCATGTTATAACTTTATTACTTTCTTATTTATATAAGTAAAGTGTATATAAGAGACTACTTTCCTATAGTCTCTCCTTAGAGCTCTCAGTTCCTTTTCCTTTACACTAGTACTAGTCCTTCTCAAGTATAGAGCTTTAGAGTATTAGCTCTAGCTCTTTACTAGCTCTAATAGTCCTTTGTCTTTGTATAAAGAGTTTCTAGCTAGCTATATAGTTTCCTATTTGAGTAAGTATTAATCTTTTCTTTATTTCTTTAAACAGGTTTTCTCCTAGTCTTTTCCTATGTCTTACTTAAACATTATACTCTTTCCTGATCCCCTCTCTATACAAGCATTCTACTAAATGACTTGTCTTTGGTTAAGGTTATAAAGTAATACTATAATAGAGTATGTGTTTGACCTGACAGATAAAGATCTTAAAAGGTTTTGTTACCTTTTTCTAACTGACTTAATACTTACTCCTTTCTGTCCCCTCTCTCTACTAATAGATTGATCACCTATTAGTAATGATTAGAGGTTTATAATACTAAGCTAAAGTATTTATTAATAAGACAATAAAGGTGACTTAAGGATCTGGCTAATCTTTAGACTTGTAACTATTAGAGTTTTGTTCATAAACTACTTGGTTCCAAGTCTTGAGTTAGGCTTTCCAAACTTAGTTCTTGTATTTTACAATTCCTAACATTTACTATTTATATAATTGTATACTTTTTGTATTTAGATTTTAAGTCTTACAACTCAAATTTAGTTAGTTTTAGCTAGCTACTCACTGTTCTACTCACATTTTACTAAGTCAAAAAAATGTCTGTCTTATAACATAAATATATGTTTCCCTCCCTAAACCTAACTTACACTTAGTCTAATACTCAAACTAAACAGTTTAAACTTATTCTAAACCTAATTAAGAGAGTAGAGCCCTGTCAAACCTCTCTCCTAGTAACTTCCTACTATGTTTATAACAAGGGCTACTATATGCTAGAATTACATAAGTCGTCAGTCAGGGTTGTCCCTAATTGGGCTGTGGGATTCAGGGTCCAGATGTGAAAAGTCAAGAGTCTATTTATGCCGTGTCACACTGTCACACTGTCACAGTATCATTTTTGATTTATTTGACGTTCCCTTTCTAGACATACTATACTATCTATCTTTCATCAGACTGATTCGATCATTTGTGCAATACATTCTTGAAGAAATGAAATATTCCTTCGACTTAGGTGATCACAAGATTTCTATATCACGCACTGGTTTCCAGCGCCTCAATGAGGGGAACAACGACGTTCTCCTTTCGGAGAGTCTCGTCGTTCCGTAGCGGAGCAATCTTTTGCAGAAGAGGCACCTGGCGTGTCTTTTGAATATCGAGACCTTTTCCCCCAAAATAGCGGCCGCTTTCAAAGTACCAGGAGTCACATGCCCGAACCAAGTTCCCAACACCATCCAAATATAGTTGGAGTTGTTTGTCGATGTCGGAGCCCCAGGATGGTACGCGCCCCATGGTTTCGAGATATTGTTTCTCAAGGTCTGCATGAAAAGTGACGACCCAGGCCTGAGCTTCCTCCAAATCAAAGCCAAACTCGTTCATTGTAATCGTAAGGATGTTGTGGCGGTCGTCGCCAATCGCCTGTTCTTTGTTGTACGAAACTATGTCCTGGAAACCGATATCATAATTTGCTCAGAGCCCAACATCCTAGAGTGCGCACGTTACCGAGAACGATGAAATCTGCAGAGAGCCTTGTCAACTCCTTAATAGCCGGATGGTGGAGAACCTCGTCTGGGATATCGGATCCTAGTTCGCATATAACAAATGAACTTCTCGCTCCAACGTTCTCACGACGGGTCTTGAAATACGATGGAACAGAGCGGTGAGTATCGTTGTCGCGATCTCTTGCTTGTTCGACGACAGAGTCGAGATACACAATGAAAGTCTCGATCATATGACGTTGGGCCGTTGGAGTTGCGGTCTTGATTGCTAACTCCCAGAACCTAATGCACCGAGGTCAGCAAAGTCAACATATATAGTACAAGTCGAATGTACTGACTGTCTTGCCACCTCACCTAGGATGACTTCACCCTCCGGACGGGGCTTGTGTGGGTTCTTGAATGCGTCAATGACGGCATCAACCATTTCGCGAACCACAGGTGCTGGCTCTACGTCGGTGTACTCATCGATGACAAAAAACAGATTCATCAGGTCGCAACCAGTTCGAAGATGTTCTGCGCCAACAGCATCAGCATTGATCGTATTTCATAGTCACTAAGCAAGTCTGTCTACCTCTTGACACGTGTGGATACGCAAGAGCAGCAAGAAGTGCTGATTTGTAACAATTGTTAATGACATGGAGAACTGATTGTGAGATCCGTACTCACGGAAGTCGCACTTGTCAAAAGCGTGCTGGGATCGCTCAGAGAACGCCTTGAAGCTGCGAAACCAGGCGTCTGACTCCGCCTTGACCTCATCATAGTATGGGTTAATGGCTCGTTTCCAGGGCCAATTCGCCAACATGTCGGGAATGTAAAGCATTTTACTTGTGTTAGCCATGTCTGAGGATCTATGCTGCGATTTGCGTCGTGTAAGGGCGTGTATTTATACTTCAGCCATTTACAACTAACTACTACTCAACTTCTGTCATCTGATTACACTCGCTTGGGGAGCACCATATGATCTCACGTTACACCCTAGCAAGAATATGATCAACGACACCTGCAGGGAAGCTCACAACGTGCAAACTTCCAGGTACATAACGTAAAGAGGAACAGGTTTTTCTGGAAGGAGTGTCCCTTCTTCAATATATAAAGTCAATAGCAAGTATAGTTATAACAATAACAGGAATAATGGCACCCTACCTTTTGCTAGATTAATTCTCTATCGAGAATCTTGTAGATGGCCCTTCATTGATATCTTTCCGCTCTCATATGCATTAGATAACAATTAAAGTATTTGTATACTTTCTATTAGTTTACAATTGGTTGACGTTAATAATGGTTGGGGAATTGCCACATCCAGTGGGTCACTGCAGTGAAGGCACAACTGATTCACCAATAGATAACGGACTAAAGGTGATACATCTTCAGATACTGTTCGAGAATTTGTAGAGAACCTTAAGAAGACTAGTTGCTTTCCATAATTGTTAAGCCTGATCCATATTTAGTATGGTTAGTTGTCATGAGATTGTTGCCACAAGACTTGCCACTATCTTTGCATGTGCAGCTGTCTGGGGATGTACAAGACAAGATACATCTGCACGTTAACTCTCACTGCCTACAGACGTTTTGGATAAAACATGCATGAAGGACATTGCCGAAAGGAGTCTAGGCAGCAGACAAGAAATGAACAAAGTATTACATAGGTTGTTATTTCGTTCCTAATCAATAGTAATATAGACAGTGTCATAACTCAACCAAACGATGGACATTCTTAACTCTTTCATACTTGTGCATAACCAATTACTGTAGAAGAGTCAATAATTTCCTGGTAGTCGGTGCTCTGGTAAGTACATAGGTGAGATAGAACTACATTATTTCCGTGTATTGTTACATCATTTGTGCTGCAAGGATAGTTTTATAATGCTTGTACTCCTTTATTATCAAGACCAGACATAACACAGGCAGATGGTGAGAGAGGGTACAGTGCCCTAACAAGGTTAAAACTACACTAGTTTTGCCTCCATCCAAACTTTGTCAAGGCTGGACAATCTCTGGAAGGGAGGATCCTAGCGTTATGATATTTGGTTTAGTAAGAATGTATGACACTAATTGGCCGAGCCCTTCATTTCTAATTATAAGGATCTGTCCCGGAAGAATCTCGCAGATGCAGGTTTGTGGCTGGCAATAGTCGGTGGTCTAGAACTGTTCATTATAGAGCCACACATAAATCCCGCGATAAGGGAGGTTGAACTTCCGAGAAACGAGGCAGGGAAGGTCAATTTTATTCTATGAGTACAGCGTTGAATTGAGTTTTTCCGGTGTTGAGAATATAGCCTTCCACTGGAGTTCTAGAACCTTTCAAACGCAGGATCTCTCCGTGGAATGGATGCGCATCTCTAATGTTATAGAGTGATCTGAGGATAAGACCATGCTAGTAGGTACTGCGCTCGAAGGTCCGAAGAAGTGTGGCACAGTTAGCCCCAAGACGTCTCAGTAAGAAGTTTCGTCGTAGTTACTCAATTCCATTGTTTATGCTTTTTGATACGCAGATAAACGTTCACGTCAGCAGGGACCTCTAACTTGCACAAAGCATACAATACTGATTTTCTCTATGATTCCTTCACTTTCTCTCGGCCCCCGATAGCTGCAATCACCTTCTCATACACGGTGAATACAATCCCTCCGCTCATCTATACCCAACAATCATCATTAAACAACATGTGCGATCTTCAGGAAGGCGAGTGAACATACCACAAGCCGTGCCAGTCGTGGAGTTGTACCAGTCCAAAATCGTAACAGGCCTTCTTCAGTAAAGATCCTATATGCGCAGTGGAAGGAGTTGCGATATTGTTGTCGTGCTTCTAGGGATTGCATTCGTGTTTTTATGACACTTCAGTCCACCGTAAGCATATAATCCATCGTATCCCCCTTATTAAAGATGGAGGGAAAAATACTCACTCTAGAGGCATGGTAGTATAGACGGTGACTAGCCCCGCCATGGCGCCAATTCCAAATGTAATACTCGCTGGTATTGGTTGGCCTGGACGCGCATTCCCTTGTACGAATTGCTTGAGTGTCGTGTATGTTGTAAATCGTACTGCTGAGTTCGCGCCTTGGCGCATCATCTAGTCCAAATTCCAGACTTCAACCACAAATCGAGGTTTGTTATAAAACCTGGAGATACGTACGACAGGAAAGAGTCCTCGGTAAATCCCGAATATGCCCTCCTGTCTGACAATACTGACGGTGCCGTGCACTAGGCCGCGATATTGAGGTACGGGTCGCTTAGCATCGTCGATGAGTTTGGTCCTGCAAGGAACGAGATGAACAGATAATCATTGATATTAACAACAATGGAGATTATTATATGCCCTAACTTTATTGTTTCTGAAGGTGTTACAGCGAATATGGCCTCCATCAACCCTGCCCCGAGGCCAGCTGTAAAATGAGACAGTACTTAGTCCTGTCCTGACTTATGCGTGCACTTTGGGAATATGCACCTAGTAGACTTCGAGGCGCGCTGACCTTTCCCTGGAACACATTGTCAGACACCCGTCATATAAACCAAATATTCGAACTCGTAATTCTCTTATAGTAACCCGAAGAAGCAAGAAATGCTGCGCAATAATGTACACATCGACAGATACCAAAATTAGATAACACACCTGTGAGTCCGACAGTATATACTTGAAATGATCGTAACTCAGGAATCGTACTCCCGCCTTCGTAGCATTTCCGACGATAAGAGCAGTACATCCAGAATACAACCCGGTTATTCCTCGTGTTCGTATGGTATCACGGATAATCTGAATTGGTTTCTCTTTCTGCATTGCCTGTTATTATACACACGTGAAGTTCTATGAGAGATCGAGAATACCTTTCCGCCAAATTGAGATCGTGTCTTGACGAATTCGGCAGGGTACGTTATGAATCTGCATTGCAATACGATAAAGTATTTCGAAGTAGCCCACAGGATAAATACGCACGCTTCGACTGCACCAGCTGTTGCTCCCGCAACTAAAGAATGCATCGGCTTCTCCTTTTTGGCCGCCATTTTAGAAGAACTTTTATGGTCTGCTATTAATGAGATGTTGAATTTATAAGAACAACCGTAGGAAGACCTGTGGCACGTCCAAGAGTTGAGCGGACTCAGCAGAGAGGAAGGCGACGCGCCAAAAAATGGTGAAATATATACATCACGTGCGCGTCGTCATCACTCAGGATCGCCGAAACTTTAAGACAACGGATGAATTCCCGACGCTCTCATCGCCTTCTGCGTCGTACGACAACGACGACAGGCCATTTCTCATCTCACACGCTGCGTAGCGCGAAGGGAAACGGGATAAAAAGGCCGTAAAGAAAGGCGATTTGTGGAAACCATCCATCTACCCATCATGGCCACGTCTTCCTCATCAAAAGAGAGCGCCAACACGCTCAACCCTCGCACAACATCATACGAATTCTGTGGTCCTCCAGGCGCACTCGCAGTTTCTCTAGGCGTTCCATTCCTTACCTATGCCTTGTATTTCTCTTGTTCGGAAGCTGCGGGCGGATGCCCTCCTGCTCCTTCCGTACTCCTCGACAGACTCAGCGCTGCTGTCACTGACCTCAACTGGTGGAAGAGCCTATGGGATACAGAGGCCGCACTCATGTACCTCGAATGGTACGCTTTCTGCGTCGCTACATGGGCCCTCCTTCCCGGCGACTGGATAGAGGGCGTAACGATGCGTACAGGAGAGAAGAAAAAATATAAAATTAACGCTTTCTCAACGTTCTTGCTTTCTCTTGGTCTCGCGTTTGGTTATATCTTTACCAACGGTCCTAAAAGCTTCACGTTTATTTACGAAAAATGGACTGGATTCGTCACTGCTTCAGTCTTGATGTCTGTAGCGCAGGGCTTATATGTCTACATATCTTCTTTTGGCGAGGGGAAACTCCTTGCGTTAGGAGGTAATTCCGGAAATCCCATCTACGATGTATGTTATTCCAGAATAATGTAATTTATCGTGGACTTGCATTAATCCATTTCTATTCAGTTTTACATCGGTCGGGAATTAAACCCATCCATCGGCTCTTTCGATATCAAATCCTTCAATGAACTCCGACCAGGTCTAATTCTCTGGGCACTCATCGACATCAGCATGCTCTGCGAACAAGCCGTCCGACGCGGAGGTTTCGCCAACGTCACCGACTCTCTCTACCTCGTCCTCCTCTTCCAAGGTCTATACATCGCAGACGGTTTATACAACGAACCCGCCATTTTCACGACAATGGATATCACGACCGATGGATTTGGTTTCATGCTTGCTGTAGGCGACCTCGCTTGGGTTCCATTTGTTTATTCCCTACAAGCTCGGTACCTCGTGTTCCACCCCGTTGAGCTTGGATGGTTCTGGTGTGCGGCGATCGTTGGTGTGAACTTGCTTGGGTATTATATATTTAGGGATGCGAATGGAGAGAAGAATGATTTTAGGAATGGTCGGAACCCGAAGAGTTAGTATTCCAATCTTATCTGTATCTGTTGTTGACTGATTTATTTCTTTTTCTTTTCGTAAAGACCTCAGTTACTTCCAGACAGAACGCGGCACCAAGCTACTCACAAGTGGCTGGTGGGGCCGCTCGCGACACCCGAATTACTTGTACGTACAGTTTCCTCTCCCTCATATGTATGCAACATCCATCCTAATTGAATGGTGTTATTCTTTTCATAGTGGCGACATACTCATGGCCCTCGCATGGTCTCTCCCAACAGGCTTCGACACACCCATAACGTACTTCTACGTCACCTACTTTGCTGTCCTACTCATTCATCGCCAGATGCGCGATGATGAGAATTGTGAGAAGAAGTATGGAAAGGATTGGGAGACGTATAAGAAGTTGGTGCCGTATCGTATTATACCTTATGTGTATTAACGAGTTAGCGGTGTTTGGTCTGTGCTTTGGAGCCGATGGAGGTGTTATGATGGGATGATGTGGTGGAGGCAGTTTTCTAGTTTGCATTATTTTGGAGCTTGTCAACTTGTTCTAGACACAATTTTATTAATTTCCTTGGTTTAGGAGTATACGGTGGACACTGTAAACAGTTGAAGGCAAGTCCCATCCACCTGAATTGTCTCAATATACATGCTGTCTGAACTGACTGTTCTATGTACATAAGTAAATATTGTATCAAGAACAGCTCCATATTATATAGCTTGAGAGACCCTATCCTCAAACTCACTCGAGATTAGGGGGTCATTCCTTGCATCAAACCAGATTGCCGACAACGTATGTGCATGCTGGTCTTCTGTGTCTGAACCATTCATACTGTCACCCATAATCACAACATCCCTGTCCTGCCAACCATGCCAACCATGCAATTGGAGGACGAATCGTGCGATCAATGTACATGACAGCCTGTTCTCATAATTAAAAGAAAAGCCTGTGTTGTTTTGGGAATTTATACAAAAGAAGACTTACGGCAATGTGCATGCGTTTAGAAGACGTTGGAAGAACGAACCAGACTGGAGTAGCCAATTTAATAATTAGCAAAGGTACGAGTTGTACAGACACACAGGTGCATGCTAAAAACATTGTGAGCTGATGTATCTCTATAGAGAAAGTGTTGAGGGACTCACAAAGTTCAGGACAATGGTAGTAGTTGTGATTAATGACATAATGCAGAAGTACAGTAAACCTTTTTATAGTGAACGTTCCAAAATATATATAAACTTGAGCCATGATAGGTGTCTCATAATCATATGCAACACTGTGACTAACCTTGTTGGAATACAATACTAACGAAACTACCCCTCCGTATTCCTCCATTACGAAACTCAGATCGGCTTCATACAATAGTCAGTACTGCTACTAAAAATTCGAAGACACTCATAAAGATGGATAGCAACGTTGCTGCTAGATGCGAAATTGATACTCGATTGACTAATTCAAAAAATCATATCTGTAAAGCACACCTCTTTCATGTTTCTTACTGTCGTTTTCATAAATATTGTCACACGCGCGATTCGTGATTTTCGTCACACTAAGTACACTCAAATACAAAATCTACTATAACTCAACTAATACTTAACCAAATTACATGATCTAAGTTGTAAAAATTATACTTTTGAAGTATCTTTCATATTCG